GTACAAAATTCACAATGATTTAGTACCAGATTACCTATCTGAGATTATACCTGATATGCGATGTAATGCTTCTGCATATACAACAAGAAACTCACAAAATTATAGTATACCTGTATGTAAATTGCAAACCTACAAATCATCATTTGTACCAACTGTAATAAATGAGTGGAATTCCTTACCACTAAATACCAGACTTTCGAGCTCTTTGTCTGTTTTCAAAAGTAAAATTAAACAAAAAACAACAGAAGCTCCGCCATATTTTAATTTTGGTAAAAGACGCAACAATATACTGCATACACGGCTTCGGCACAACTGCGTGCTAAACGCTGATCTTTATAGATGTAATATAATATCTAGTCCATTATGTTCCTGCGGTAAGGTAGAAAATACACATCATTATTTTTTCTCGTGCCCTAACTACAACGAGGCCAGGAAAGAGTTTTTCGATAAGTTCTTGAGATTTAATAAAGTCCATATTGTTGACATTCGAACTTTACTCTGGGGGGATACATCACTCAGTATTGCTGAAAATGAATATCTATTTTCTATTGTACATTCTTATATTCAGCATTCTGGTAGATTTAACTGATTGTACGCATTTTTTTTCTTTAAAAACCATTTGTATAAACAATAATGTAGCAGTCTATATATGTCCACAATGAGAGTTTATTTAATTTACTTGTTATTTATTTTGTACAAACTGTTGAACACTTCTAATTCATCCTGTTATAATATCTCATGTACGGAGAGGGCGATTTAAGTTTTTAGAACTTGTGCCCAATCCCATTGTTTATATTTTGTGCAATAAAATATGTTCAAATCAATAAAAATTAAAATAAATTAATTTAATAAAATGAAGTCCCTAAACTCACTCCGCTGATTTATTTCATTTCGTACCATTTTTCCATTATGTTTATGTAAATAAGTCTTTTAATGGACTTGGAAAAAAAAATACTGCACTTATTGTTCATGCACTTTCGGATCATCGGGTTTTCTACGTAATACGGACAAAGTTAATTCTAGGAAACAATTTCATTGATCGTAGAAACAGATTAAATAGTTCTAACATTCTAAACTAGGAAAATTAGCTCGCATTATTTTTTTACGGTATCCTACTATAAAAATAAAACAACAGAATTAAGTCGTCTGATTCCGCCGTGACCATGCAAGACAAGTAAATACACCTTTCAATTTATAGTTTTAATCGATTTCATGCCATACGTATAAAACTTTATTTAAGAATTCAATATTATATTTGGCTATTTGGTTAGATCTTGTTTATCTAATTTTAAATTGGTTACGGACTTTCAACATCCCGCCCTTCAAATATGCCTCATATGAGATTACCGGGTCAGTCTAAAGTAATTCTTAAGGTTTTATTTAATAATTCATTTGCAGAATTAAACCTCTTTTTTTGTTATTATTAGAAACAGTACACACAGAGTTTAATAGCAATGATTTATAATTATTTAGTCAGAACAGTCGCATTTCACTCTATTAATATTTGTTAATTAATTTTTCTGTTTTGTATTGTAAAGAAAAAATTATTTAGCCATTCAATGTTCGTTAATAAATACCAGGTTTTAAGTATCTGATATATAAATGTTTACATGTACATTAGTCAAAGCTTAGCGTAAACGTACATGTGCAATTGTAGCAGATTCATAGTTATAACTAAATGACTCCTGATAATAGAAATTATGAGTTTAAACATTTTTATTTTTCTTATTTCATTAAGTTGTTTTTCACTTCTTTTAGTTTCTGTAATTATTTAATGGTTTTAAATTTTCAAACAACATATTAATTGGAATCATTTCAATGTTTTATAAACAAGACGATGTATATCAATGAAGGACTTCTTTTGTCATAATGTACATGTATTATTTAATTGTTAACCTTGTTTATAAAACACATCAATTGTTTAAAAATGTTTAGGTCAATAATGGTCAACAGTTAAGGATGTAAAAAGATGCCTTTTTCTTTTGCTGTGAGTTATTTATGACTATTAGATATTTTTTATTATACATGTAGAAATGTAAAATTGTACTTGAGGGTTTCCTTTTATCTGTGTAATTTTTTCAATCAAAGAAGGTGTCAACCATTCGATTTAGTGTTAAGTCCTAAGGGGTTATGTTTATAGTTTAAGTATGGTCAATTGGTCAAGTAAATAAATAAATTACATAATTAGGAAGTGAGAAGATTAACCGTAAATTAAATTTTTATGCACGAATATAGATTTTGATTGGTCAATACCTGTGCAGGGAAGCGTGGAGTCTCCGATATAGATTGTTTCCCCTACTGGGATCCATCTGATCGGAGACGGCAATAAAACAAGTTACACTTTAGTTACGCTTTCCCTGGTTGTATATATTTTACAGTCATCCCAAACCGTACTGGACTGGACCCTTTTGACCCAGTCTCCTGTCCAGTACGGTTTGCGAAAGCGTAACTAAAGTGTAACTTGTTTTATTGCCGTCTCCGATCAGATGGATCCCAGTAGGGGAAACAATCTATATCGGAGACTCCACGCTTCCCTGCACAGGTATTGACCAATCAAAATCTAAACTCGTGCATAAAAATTTAATTTACGGTTAATCTTCTCACTTCCTAATTATGTAATTTATTTATTTACTCGACCAATTGACCATACTTAAACTATAAACATAACCCCTTAGAACTTAACACGAAATCGAATGGTTGACACCTTCTTTGATTAAAAAATTACACAGATAAAAGGAAACCCTCAAGTACAATTTTACATTTCTACATGTATAATAAAAAATATCTAATAGTCATAAATAACTCACAGCAAAAGAAAAAGGCATCTTTTTACATCCTTAACTGTTGACCATTATTGACCTAAACATTTTTAAACAATTGATGTGTTTTATAAACAAGGTTAACAATTAAATAATACATGTGGGGGGGGGGGGGGGGGGGGGGGGATTGATATACATCGTCTTGTTTATAAAACATTGAAATAATTCCAATTAATATGTTGTTTGAAAATTTGTCGTCATGTTGCAGATTTTATTTGAAAAATAAATTATGTCAGAAAGGACAATATTCTCATGACACAGTTTACATGTATTAATGCAGAGCGCCATTATTTTAACAATTATTTAGATTTCCATTCAAGAAATTAATTTTCCTGAACTGTTTAGTTCTTGATAGATCAATCATGTTAAATTTATTAATTTTGTTAAAGCCGTTTTCTTTAAACCTTTCTTTCGGCTGATGTTCTACTTGTATTTTTATTTAAGATATTACATGTAATATTTAATTGCGACTTTTGGATACATCGCAGATTGTAAGCTTTAGATATCTAATACAAATATTTAATTTATTGAATATATTTCTTCCGTGAAATAACTTGGTACTTGTAGATAAATTTATTAAATATAAAATTAAAATGTATATTTTCCCATAAATAATAAATATGTTTATAGAGTTTCAAAATTCATACACTTGAGAGGAAATAAATAAAAAATACAGTCTCAATTTCATAATAATCCATTTAATCACTGTCATTTCTTTATAATATATAAATAAACAACTTTTGTAAAATTACCACAGAGATCTCAAGTTCTTTTTTCAATAATTTAATGTACTTTATAGTTTAGATTTGAAGCTCTTCAAGTATTTAAATTAAAATATAATCTAATTTAAATAATCTTTGATCTTTGTATTTAATTTAAAATAATCTTTTCGTCTTGTCAGAAAACGTTCCGCATTTTGAAACAATCCTATCAGGTTTTGCGTTTATCCTATCGTGAAGATCGTATATCAGGTCTATCGTGTTTTGCGTTTATCGTGTTTTGCGTGTATCGGGTTTTGCGTTTATCGTGTTTTGCGTTTATCCTATCGTGCGTGTATCCTGTCCTATCGTGCGTGTATCCTATCGTATCGTGCGTGTATCCTATCGTATCGTGCGTATATCCTATCGTGTCGTGTATCCTGTAAAGAATAACGATGCGGGTACTGTATGGTATTCTAAGATAATGTTTTCAAATTACTATGAATTATAAATGTCAAAAAACAGAGTTAGAAAACAAAAACATTTAAATGCGATAGTGCATGTAAAAGCCGTTGTAAATACTAGTAATGACCTCGGTAATAATGAATGAAAAATGACCAAGTGTAATTTTTCGACTTGGAATAATGACACCTAGATGCAGAGAAAAAAAATCATTTTTGTTGAAAAAAGAGCCCTAACGTTCATTATTTATTAAATGGTACTCTAAAAATTGAAAAAAAAAACCTTATTAGCAAAGTGATACAAAATTTACAACAGGTGTATTATGTCAAGGTTTGAACCGAAAAATTATTTAATTTTTTTATGCGCTTTAACTTTTACGAAACACTTAATGGTCAAATAAAATGCAACAAAACAGCATCAAATTTACATCCTTATTTCTGTCTATCAAAATAAATAATATTGTGTTCTCATAACTATAAAAGGATCTTAAACACTACCAAGGTGTGGTTAGGTGCCTAGAAGTAGTAAGCATTCCCTGTTTATCCGTCACGTCTGCCATGAGCCTTATAAATAAATTAGTAAAACTAACATTCTATTGTCAAAACAATTTTGACAGGATTATTTATACGACTATTGAGACTTTAATCGATGTTGTTGAAACCCCATTAACATCTACTTACATGCGTCAGTGAGGAGCCTGCCGCGACTTAAAATTTAACCGTGCACATACGTATCGAAAAAGGTGGAAGATGTAAAACATCATATGCAAATGCTAGCGGAATATTTCTACATAAATAGGGAGAGTTCACAATAAAAACAGTTGCAATTATCCCGTTTGTTAGACAATTTAATTGTTGGTTAAAATATTTTCTATAATCAGTAGACAAATATGAAGCAGAGGTAGAAGATATTAGATATCCACTATTTAAGTTATTTTTTACTTGACTATACAATGTCAAGTAGTTAACTTTTTCTTTATTTTTTCATTAAAGGTAAATTTTAAATTCTATGAATATTTTTAGAATCCTCAGGGATGTTTGTTGTTATTATATCAATAACACCATGGATCTGTGCTTTCATTGCATATGTTGTCTATAAAAGATGCAAGAAACCTAGGTACAAAGGTAATCTATTTTTAAAATCAATTAACCAATAATTAATTTTGATTTCATGATATTTGTATAAAGGTTGTATCTTTTTTTGTAATAAAAAATATGTTAACTTTTTACCCCCCTCCCTGCAAAGGAGACTAACAAAATATGACTTCTATATTTGGTTTAAATTCATGACAAAGAAATGTTTAAAAATCGAATCATTCAGTTTAAGTTCGTTGTTACCAAAAATGACTCCAAGCTTTTAGATACCAACTTTAATTTTGATTATCCTATTTGATTAGATATATAAAATGTGTTTTTCCGTGTACAATCGGTGACACTTCTACCTCATATATCATTGACATATCTTATAAGAAGCTAATTCAGAGAATAGGTCTTCCATGTTTAAGGAAAAAATGAAGAGAACGTGCAGATGTGGGGGGGGGGGGGGGGGGGGGGGGTCAAACAGGGCACTTTCAATTAGGCGGAAAAACTAGCGAGTTATGGTTAAAATGTAAACTGCAAATACTCAAAACCTTCTTCTGATATCGAAAGGAAATGAATGTTTTTTTTTATTCACATAGGGAATGTATGAATTTAAGACATTTGTCTTTTGACCTAATGATCTAATAATAAATAGAAGTTGTCCTTAAGCTATAATAAGTTGTGGTATAAAGTATCATTCCAAAAGCTCTCAGGATATCGCGCGGATGAAAGTATTTAAAAAGACAAAATATTTGAATTTATTACCTTGACATTTGATCTTATGACTTCAAAATCAAAAATGGTCTATCATGGACCATGCCAGTTTGTTCTTTAAATTTCACAGCAAAATTCAAATGTTTGCGAAGACCAAATATTCGACGCACATGCGCGATAGTAAGTTAGACTGGAATTATAGTCTGTTACAGAGTAAAGTCTGTACCTGATTTATCTTTACATGTAATAAGTAAAAATATAATAAGATTTGACGCTTGTTACTTTCTATTGTTTTTTTTCTGAATAAAGATATATTTACAAAAATGAAAATAAGAATGAATAAATATTACAAAACAGAATCAGAACTAATTGTTTTAATTGAGTTTAGTTGCGTCCAATCAATTCACCCCTCTCCAACAACTATTTACAAATGATCGTTGAACAAAGCAAACAAATGTTAACAAGTGTATTCAGATAATTGTTCCAGAGATTGGTTTAGAAAAAAAATAATATGTACAAGCATGACTATTAAAAAAGAAGCACTGTAGTTCTGTTTGATTTCAAATATTGAGATGTGAAACACCCTTTATCAATTATTTAAAATATAAACAACGTTATTTAGTTTACATGGCGTTATGAAAAGCAATAATGCTCTGCTGGCATAATAATGCTAGCGCATCATGGAAAATATCCCAGCAAAGCGATTGCTATCCATAATGCTACATTCAGGGAATAATCGTTGTTTATTACCTATACTTGTATTAATTTTTTTGGATGTTGTCAAGAATATCAGGAGAAATCATGGATTGCGTTAAGACATGGCTGCTTGTCTCCAATAACGAAAAACACATGGTTTATGATAAAATCAGTAGAGTTGCACCTTTTCTCTAATAAATCACAAAGAAGTGGTGTTTGCATTTACAGTACTTAATCAAAAAAATGCTTGTTCCCATAGACCTCAATACATTCTTAATTAATTATTTACTCTTAATGTATATATGATGACGTTTGTAATAAAAAAAAATCTTGCTAAATCATTTTTATATTCTAAACTGTTTTGAATTAATTTCAAAGTATATAATACAGGATTGTTATTTAAGAATAGACAATTATATCTTTTTTATGAGTCGGATACCTTGATGAAAAAAAAAAATGTGATTCGCACCGACAAAAATACAAATTGAAGGAATGGGGCTAAAACTGTGTCCCAAATTCTTTCTTTGGAATTAATCAAAATAAATTTGATATTTAACCTTTATAACAAATGTAATATGCATTTACTTGTCTAATTTTATGACATGACACTATGATGACAGTGAATTTACTTGGGTGTTATTTACAATTATTATAAATATCTTATCAAGAGGACAAAAAATCCAGTTTATGTTCAATATTTTAAACACGTTTTTATTAAAGTTATTCCTATCTTAAATGTATACATCTTGTATTTTGTTTCTTTCTTGTCTGAACAAAACTGAATATGACTACGTGTAATATGGAATAACTTGTTAACTATATGTCTATCAATTTACCATTAACATTTATAGGTACATTTGATTGCATTGAGACATCGCCTGTATGTCAGAAGTATTTTGGTTCCTTTCAAGTTTTATTCCTAAAAGATCTCAAACTAGTTTGGCACAGAAAAGATCAAAGAATTGAAACAAAATGTCCTATAATTATCACTTGTTTTACGATGTCAAGATTGTCAGACGACGTAACAGCAGCTCTCGAAGGCCTAGAAGTTGCGGGTATGTTTTGTTTCTTTAAAATAAAGAGCCACATATTAGCAAATGTTCTTGTGTGTATGTTTGCTTATTTTCATTTTTAAATTATATATTGGATATGTTTCATTAAAACAGGTAATTCACTAATGCTAGTGGTGCTGCAAAATTGTCTTCAAGGTAGAAAACCATCCAGAATGGCAACTATGAAGACGATCAGTGATACAAGAATAAATGCCGTAGTTAATGTCCTAGTCTGGGAGGGAGAGGCGTATTCCTGTGAGATAAACAAGATGGCTGCATGTGATATCAAAACATTTCTTTTCAGTAAAACATAACAATTGTTGTAGACAGCCTCTAAATAACTTTATACTGTGTACACGTTGGAAACTTTCTGTACCTTTATTCACAATGTACGATGTACTCGAATGTTAAGGGTGAAAGAATTTTTCAAAAAATATTTCTTAAAACATCTGTCGAATAATTATATTCATCAATATAATGATATTTCAATTTAACCGCATGACGTTTCGGCCGATTAACCGTTAGCCGTATAAAAATACGAATTTTCTTAATGTACATGACCTTTTTTTAAAAGAAGCTTTATTCATATAATTGAGAAGACTGATTATGTCTTGATATAAAATCATTTTATTTGTGGGAATTCTTGCTATTAAAACCTCGTATCCTTATAGATGTATATTAATTTTTATTTCTGCCTCAATATAGAGTGGGGAAAATTAAGAAAACCAGAAATCATGCCTGGCAAATCTATGATATCTATGATGCAGTGTCACCATTATTATAGGTGCCCAGGATTAGAGAATTCAGAGAATTCGTGTCCCCCGCTTAGGGAAAAATTCGGATCCCCCTGATTGAGTTTGTAGAATTATTAAATGTTTACATGTATACTGAAACAAAAAAAAAAATACATGTATGTCAATATGCATATGAAGATTTGATTGATTATTCTTTATTATGTGTATAGAAGATTCTTTTTATATGGGTTATCTCAGATTCCCTATAGACAAAAAGATAAATATTTTTATTGTTTATTATGGTGCATCTGGCCGCGGTGATTCATTGCAGGGGCTACCACAGGGCTGCCCCTCAAAACAATCAACAAACAATACAAAATATGTGACGGCCCAAAATTAGGTGGATCCAGCACTGGGTATGTCACAAGTGCGTGGACGTCACCAAAACATGTACAATATAGTCAATTACCCTTAAACAGTCAAGTATTATCCAATGCCCACTAATCAATATATAAATCAATATTGCATATTCAATTTCAATTCAATGTACAAATTCAACAGTTCAACTTCAATATAACAATCAACCAATGTAATGTGCTTGATGTGTTGCAATCCTCCAATTGCGTTGAGGTGCGTCGGAATACGCCACTTGCAAGTGTCATAACCATTGATTGCTGGTTTAAGCCAATCAAAAAGGTTATGGCACTGCAACCGCCAAAAATAGGGTGCCAAGAACCATGGTGGCGGCGGCAGTACCCCAACACAATTGGTCATCACGACCAGGGCCTGCTCAATACTTAAGATGGGTATGCATGACCCTTACCAGACATAAATTGCTCGATTGCCCCTTGAAAAATGTTCAACAACCAGTCCTCCCCCAGTTGCGATAAATGTACCCCATCTTCGTGAAATAAACCCCTATGCTCCCCCTCATGTTGTAGATGCTTAATGTATGCCCCACCCTGAGCTGTAGCCACCCTAATTGCTTCCCTGTTAATTCTTGTCCTGGCCTTTTCCATCGCTTTAACATTGCTAGAGTAACGCCATACACACCTGGGGAGCATACTTGACCAAACGATTTTTGAATTTGGAAATAATTTAGATACCTATGATAATGTTTCTTTGAGATGTAGCAATAAGTCCAACTTTAAAAGGTCAATATTGTCCCGAAGTGACCTATAACAAGATTGGGTTGGTCTTTCAATCTCTGCAGGAGCTTGAGCTTAGGTACTAGTTGGCTCAGTATCATACCCCCATAGCCAAGCCACCATATGTGTGTTTAGTACATTAAGATTGTGACCCCCTGTTCTTGCTCTTGCTGTTAAAAAGGCTCTGTTCACAATTGATGATCCCACGATCCAAACTTTAAAACTGTCTAAATTAAAACTATATGCATGTTAAGATTTGAATGATAAATGAATGTATGTACAATAAGCATTAGAACGCCATCTCCCCGAATTTTGAATAACCTCCCGTGATGCCCCTTGCTGCGCTAGTGTTGTTGCTGCCCCTATGTGAAATGAGTGCGACTTATAATTTCTACTATCAATTCCCGACATATTAAGAACTTTCTCCAATATTGAACTGAACTGGAAGCGAGTTAACGGTTTAGTGAATAATGGCAGAACAGGGGATCCATACCTATGGGACGCTCTTGTAAATAAACTTGCATTGCTTTTACCGGACATGTTACCCCATTAGATGCCTGAATGCTTAATATCACTCCTATATCCATCTGATCTGTTTTTGACTGTCTAACATTAATAATCACTTTATTGGCGAATAATGAAATATCTTCCACTTGCAAAATGGTTCTAACTGTATTTTCCTTAGATAATGTAATTTCACCTATTCTAAGGAAGGTATGAAACGTGAGCAAGAAAGCTGCCTTATATAACACTGTTTCATATGCGATGTCACAAACTACTTGAAGTTTCGGTATAACGACACCTTATATATCTAATGTAATTGGTAAACGACTATCCCCCCCACCAGGATTTGACCGCTTCAAGCCCTGCAAAAGTTTTTTGCACTACAAAGGTCTTTGTCGGGTCATCTAGGCCTTTACCTTTACAACTAAAACTGATTGCTGTCATATATGACTTGGCTCTTGAGTGTTTGTAACCCCATAATGAGAGTTGGACAATAAACATATGTATGTTTCTATCTGGTAAGTGGGGAACAATCCTTTATGCTTTGCGAAAATTTTCGAAAGTTTGCATCCCCACTGAGTATGTTTGCCACGTATTTGCTGACATATATGCATTGAACAAACGCTCTACTTCATCTTATAGAGTAATATCTGGAATTGCTCCGGTATGATCTGCGGCTCCGGGTCTGCTGCTGGTGGAAGACGCCTGAAAATCTCCCCCTTTTTGCGGGATATTGATTTCTTGTTTAATAATTATGTGAACTAACACTATATTGTCTATGAAAAAATAAATATTGCAATTTTTCCCCCATACAAGCACCGATAACACGATGGATATCAACTCCGAAAAATGTAATATCCCTCAAAATTGCTGAATTAGCCCAATCTGCAGGCCGCTGAAAAAGACCCACTCACCCTTGAAATAACACCCACATCCTAACTCTACTGACCCTGCACTGTCTGTAAAAAGTTCAAGTGCCCCGGAAGAACTCCATTGACTATCCGAAAAATAAAGCACCCCATTAAAGTCTTTAATAAATTCAAGCCATGTTTTCAAATCCTCCCGCATTGGCCTAGTTATTCTTAAGTGTAGGTATGGTTTGTCTAGTCCGCGCATTGCATTGTAAAAGCGCCTATTAAATGCTCTACTTACCGGTATTGCCTTACTAAAAATAATCAATTTGCCCACCAAAGCTTGTAGTTCTGACAGTTTATTTTTTCTTTTCCTACCCTAAATTGAAGGAGTTGAGTAAGTATCTCAACTTTATCATGGGGAATTCTAATTTGCATTTCAATACTGTCAATAAACAGGCCAAGGAACACTAAGCAAGTGGTAGGTGCCACTGTCTTATCCTTATTTAGGGGAACATCAATATCAACACAAACCTCCTCAGAAGTTTGCATAAGCCTTTTACAATCTTCCGTGTTGGCCCTACCAGTAAAAATAAAAATCATCCAAATAATGATGCAGTGTTTCCATCCCAGTTTTATCCCTCACTACCCATTCTAAGAATGTTGAAAATGTTCCAAAAATTTTGTATGAAATGGCACACCCAAACGGTAAACATTTGTCGAAAAAGTATTTCCCATTAATATACATTCCCAGTAAATCACCTGGATAGACCCTAAGAAGCCGAAATGCACTTGTAACATCACATTTTGCAATGACTGTCCCTTTTCCCATTTTACTTATTGTTTGTACCACTGTGGCGAATGTTGTATACTTAACAGCAGTGTAAACCGGGTGGATATTATGATTTATGCTGATTGACGGTGGGTATGAAAGATGCATTATCATTCACCAACCCATCAGCTTTCGGAACCACTCCTACTGGGGATACGTGCAAATTGTGTATTGGTTGATTTTCATATGGGCCTGCCAACCGCCCCTTCTTCAATTCATTATCTATTTTTTCTTGTAAAATATTGGCATGTTGAATTGCAGATACTAAGTTTTTGCTAAACACTGTACTGCGTGGGCCTGCATATTGTAACTTGAAACCCGTGATCAGACCTTCCCTTAAAAAATGGCCGCTGATTTATCAGGGTAGTTTTCCAAATATTTCAGCACTGAATTAATTCTTATTGGGGAAACGCCCAGGTCCCAAAAGTCTTGCTTGTGGCCCTGGTTGCCTTCTAGCGTAGAAATGGTATGGAGTTTAAAACTAGGGTTGCTGAACTGCTGATGCATTTGACCGAAATGTACAATTGATATTCGGAAAATTTTGAGCCGGAGTTGCTTGTTCATTTACGCAAAGTAATGCGGGGTGCATCTCGCTGCACTTCGTACATCGATGTGCATACGTGCACTGCAATCTGGTGCATTTACCCTTGTAATTGTAATCAAAGCATTTGTAAAACGTGGATGTCCTTTGATTATTGACTGCTACGGAAAGTGACATGTAAACAAGCCCCATTTCTTTTTCAATTACCTCCAAATTACCATATGGATTTAATGCCATGCGTAGTCTAAACTGCTCATCATATGTAACCCAACCCTGTGACTTCTCAGCCCCTATTCTGACATAATGCAAGTATTTGAGCAATTGCTGTGTTTTATTTGGGTGCGCTGTGAGATAAATACTTGAAAAAATCAAAAAGGCATTCGTCCTCTTTTCAATTGAAGTGATTTTTTAGCGTGCTTTGGTTGAGTAATTATTTGGCCCTGTGTATCTATAGTTAATGCGGATACGTGTAACTTACTCGGGTCCCTAACTAGTAAATTAGCAAAGTTAACATACTCTCCGTTAGCTATTTTTGTTTGGTTGATTTATCAACATGATATCCTAATTGACTAATTGTTTTGGATTTGTCATACCAGGTTGAAGTAAACTTGACAACACTATTTGCATGCCAATGCCACTCTCAACAGTATACCTTTAGAACTGCTACTTTTCGCTCATGAAGTATTGGCATTCATTTCCGGTACCACGGCTGTCTGTGGTTGTATTACAGCATTGTTGGGTAAGGCTGTTTGGGATGTTACGGAAATACCAAGCTGGGGAAGTTCTTCCACCTGTGATGTCATGGGTGCATTAGCTGCTGGGGTTGTTTGTAATGTCGGTGCTGCAGCCGAGGTTGAAACTTGCTCAGGTTGAACCGTGGGCTGCAGCGCTGCCATCCGTGCCTTTTTTGCACTCCTCCGTGGAATATTTATCACACTGTTATGAATGGATTAAGCAGCAAACTCTCTAAAGCTTAAGAATTGTATTTTTTTTTTCAGAAATATGTATTCCTCTATTTAATGCTTGAACCTGTTTCATCAAACAT